AGCAAGGCTTTTAACTGTCTCTCATAACATCCTCATAGGCAAGCTGATGACTAGATGACTGAAAACTGTCTGAATAGCTCAGAGGGTTCTGTTCAGTGGCACAATGTCTAGTTGGTGGCCTGTAGCTAACAATGTCCCACAGGGGTCAATGCTGGATCCCATCCTGTTAATCACTGACCTGGATGAATCATCAGCAAATTTGCAGATGATTCGAAATCAGATGGAGTGGCTGATACACTGGAGGGCTGTGCTGCCATTCAGAGGGACTTTGAAAGGGATGGGCTGTGAGAAACTTCCTGGAGTGTGAGAAAGGCAAGTGTTGGGATGTGCACCTAGGGAGGAATAATCCAGGCACCAGTACAAGCTGGCGCTTGACCTGGTGGAGAGCAGCTCTGCAGAGATGGACCTGGGCGTCCTAGTAGACAATAAATCAACCATGAGACAGTGCATTAGGAAGGGTCAGCCTTGATGAAGCTGTGTCTGGAGCACTGGATGCAGTTCTCCACTCTCTCCAGCACAAGAACTATGGGAGAGAGTCTGGCAGAGGGCAGAGATTAGGAGACTGGAGCATCTCTTATCAGAGGAAAGAGTAAAACACATGGATCTGTTACAGCCTGGAGAAGAAAAGATGAAGGGAGAATCTTATCAATGTGAATAAGTATTGGAAGGGAGGGTGTCAAGAGGAGGGAGCCAGGCTTGTGTTGGTGGTGTGCAGTGATAGAATGGCCACAAACTGAAACTGAAACACACAAAATTCCGTCTGAACATGTGGAAAAACTTTGCTATGAGGATGACTGAGCACTGGAACTGGCTGCCCAGAGAGGCTGCAGAGTCTTCTTCCTTGGGGAGATAATCCTGGGCAACATGATCGAGCTGACTCTGGTTGAGCCGGAGTGTTTGGACTAGATGATCTGCTAAGGTGCCTTCCAATCTTAACCATTCTGTGTCATTCTGTGATGTAGCTTTCTGCTGGAGCTAGCTGCTAGTAAGCCTTTTCATTCAGCGTGCCACTGGAGCCAAGGCCTTTTCCAGTTGTGAGGTAGCCGGATAATACTTTGCTCATTATAGCTTTCTGCAGTCAGTTAATAAGAATGAGATGGATTTCTGTATGGTCACTGCATTCTCTTGGTAAGGTTTGCAAATTTTTTGTCAGAATTCAAGGAAAAAAAGGTTGTCTGTTAGATTTCACAAGAGTGAAATGGAAGGGACTGACTGTTCTGACTACCTTGCTTTTCATTATGTAAAAATGTTTGGAAAATGATTGCATTTGGCCATAAACCTTAAATGCTGAAGTGATTATTCATTTCATGAAAATGATTTTAAAATAATTTCTCTCCTATTACAGTAAATTTTGGCTTTATGGCAGAGATTTTGAAGTGACACTTTTGCAGAAAAAAAAAATGAAGGGAATACTTAAGATTTACAAAACTTCACTCTTAACTGTTATCCATTAGCTCTTTGGCATTGATTTGAAAACTAATGAAAGATGTTTTACTGATTTACCTTGGATGTTGGTGTCCATAATAAATCATTCATTTAATATGCAAACTTCTAGGTTTTTATTTAACATCACCTTGATACAGTTTCATACTTGCACGCTACCATTCATTTGCATCACTGTTGTCATAGACACCACACCATCATCAAATCCAATACTGACCTATTACTGTTTTGCTGTTTTGCGCACTGCTTCAAAATTCTCAGGTGTTCATTAAGCCCATCTGAGCTTTTGATAAATGTAAGAATGTTTCCCACACGCATCCCTAGACTAAAAGACTGTCTGCCATGACCATTGAACAGTGCAGAGCGATGACGTCTGTCTCTCACCTCTGCTTTTGCTATGAGCAATTTCTTCAGGAGCATTTTGTTTCTGCAATAATATATATGTATATGTGTAGGTATATGTATTTTTCAATTTTACACTTAAAGGTACCATAATAATTATTTATTCTATTGCTTTATTTACTTTTCTATGCTATGGTTTTCTATTTTTTTTTTAAATTTGTATTCTTCTAAAGTTTTAATTCAATTTTACATAATATTTGTCAGTTGATGACAGTCTTTAAAATGGTATCAGAATTATATTTACATATAAGATAGTATCTTCTATTTTCTTCTCCCTGTCTACTCTGCAAACTCAGTTTGGGCTTTGAAATACACACCCAGAATCCATGTGCCAAAAAAAACCCAAAATAAAGAACAAGTTCACAAACATTAAAATGTCTTTGTATACCTTTTTATTTTGAAATAGACATTATATTAGCATTATTATTAAATAATCATCAAACTAGTCAATAAACTAGTCTTTGGAGAAACTTTTCAAATAACTTTTTCCATTTGCACAGTCTTTGTGACCTAGCCAAAGATAATGACGTTCTTGATTCTAGTAGGTGCATGCCTTTGTTTTTACAGGTCAGCAGGGTAAACAGAGTAGATACGCTCTGCATGGTCACGTGACTGCAGAACCCTCTTTTCTCAGGAAATCAGTTTTTGAAAAATGTCTATTTGGCATGCCCTTTTACTATGAAATAATTTCCTGACCTCCTTTTATTTGAACATTGACAAATTCAGGTAAGCGATCCTCCCTTCCCTCCACTGAGGTGGTGGTGGCAGATATTAGCCCTTTCTGGCAAAAGGCTTATTTAGAATTTTAAGTAATAGTTTACAAGCAGTACCGCCTGTTACTCAACACCTTCTAACCTCTCTGCCATCTGAGGCTGCTCAAGCCTGCTATTTCCAGTCCTGTTTTCAAGCTAAGAGGAATTGCTATCCACTGGTGTAGGGCTTTGTCCTGTGCAACTGAAATCAGCAGGTGGTTTGTCTTAGTTTTAGTGAGGCAAGCTGATATTCCTTACACTTCAACTCCGTCAGTTTCCCACCTAAAGCTGACAAGTATTGCTCTGCTTTTAGGAAGGACGAGTTTCTGTCTTCTGTCTACCCCACTGATATATACTGATAAGAAGAAAAGGTTTGCAAGGCGGGGGGCAGTGTAGAAAAGAAGTGCATGACGAAGGTCTCTTGCTGAGACTAATCATTTTATCTTTATTATGGCATGCTAGCCAGGTTCACTAATATTTTCCACTTTGGTAACATCTTCCATCCACACAAACTTTAAAGCTAATTTTTAGCCTTATTACATTTGTTTCTACAACACATGCAGAAACCAGAGACAAAAAGAAAATCAGGCATTTGGCAAAGATCTTTCTCAGTGTGTGTCTGCTTCCTCTCTTCTTTTTTTTTTTTTTTTTTTTTTTGAATGTATTCTTCATCTATAGAACAGGTTTTATTCCCCATGTTGTATTCATTTTTTTTATGTACTGAAATTTCAGAATAGTCACTATGGAAACATTTTTGTTACAATTTATAGCTGAAACAGCAAGCTATAATTTACAAACTTTGCGGAATTATTATCCAGCTGTGTTTTGGTTCATTTACAGAAAAGAGGGGATTATGTTTATATATAGCAGCCTTTATGTAATTAATGTTAATTTGCATGTTAATGAAGATGATTATTAACAAATTATTGTAGTTTAGTTCTTGTTCATTTTGTCAGAGTAGTTGAATAACATTCTACTGTAAGCAATGCAAATAATTTGTCCTTAATTTAACAACTATTAACAGCTACTTTACAAGAGGACTTTTAATGAAGCCAAAACATGATGATAGACTCTTAAGTAGGCTTTAGCTGCCAAAAGGTTTACTGTGTTTTATTTTACAGATTACTAGCATTCTGTAAAATAAAACATGACCTGCTCCTGATGAGTCATCATGAAAATGACAGGTGACATCCTGTATGGAAAGCAGTTCCCAGTAAAAATACGCAGCAAGGCCAGCACATTCTTGATAGGTTCAAAACTTTTAATATTTCTCCTATTCTCTGTATTAAGCTATTAATACTAAGAGTAGAGACCAAGCACTGACAGGGCCCACAAATCAGCTGAAGCAGTTTTGACTAATGGGAAACAACTCAAGAAGTTTTATGCATTGTATGCATTGCATGCATTGTATGCATGTGTACAAGCATGGGAATAACTATCAACAAGGAAGGAACTGGCTGACTGATTCTCACTGCAAATTTAGAATGTCTAAGCAGACAGCAGTCTTCAATCAAGGAATCAATTCTCTTAAGAAATTCTCTCTGTTCAGGCAGATCATAATATTGATCCTTTCATTACAACAAGTGTTGGTCCTTTATTATCATTATGAATTGTTGTTACCGCCCTGCTATACAGGCCACCAACAAACTGTCCAAAGAAAGAGGTTCTTTGTCTAGGCCATGTAAGTTTCCAGATGGAACAATTAAAGATCATCGTAGGCAGCAGCTCCGGTGCAGAGTAAATTTTATGGCAGTAGGTTTACTGAATTGCATGTCATTCTTTTACTGACTTTGACCCCTTGCTGAGTGAACAAATGCAGGTTAATGTGTTGAGGTCTACTGCATTTGGGGCAACAGCAGAAAGTTTGATAAATTCCTTTTAGTTAAAAATGTGCAGTTCCCCTCATGCCAATAAAGGGAAGAAACCACTAAAGGGAAGTGCCACTAAGGCACTCATTTGTAGAATGCACTGCTGATATAAGTATAAACCCTATTTTGTCTTTCAGAAAGTTTACTGTTGTTACTGAATATTACTGTTGAGAGATAAGGGATCTAGATCCAATCTCAGAATCATAGCACATTAGCTTCAAAAAAACCCATATATTGGACATATCTACTCTGAAAAACATTAGGGGACAGTAAATATTGGACAGCTGCAGGTAGAAATGGACAGAGAATGAATCTTTATTTAAGTATAATCTTTTTACAAAAGTTATCAAAGGTTTCTTACAGCTGTTTGTGTTCCGTATAGATCACACATGATGATACAAGTGTACTTTGTTGCAAAATTATGAATACTTCCGGTGTCAATATTAATTAACTACAAGCCAACAAACAAAATGCTTGAATTACCATCCTTTCAAAATACATATGCAGGAAGATGACTCTGTACTTTTATTCACAGGAGGAAACTGAGTGTCCCTCATCTCTCTCTGTTATTAAAGAGAAGACAAGAGGTGAAAATCTAGAGGATGATTTCTTCCCACCCGATGATCTGTCTTCTGATGAAGAATATTACATTGAAGAAAGCAAAGCAACCCATTTCAAGAAATCAGGCATGAGGCGCATAGACGATATCAAACAGGCATTTTCAAGGGAAAATATCCAAAAGACAAGACAAAATTTTAGAAAGAAAGTAAACAGGCTTCGAACTAGAATAGTGACCCCTGAAAGGAGAGAGAGGATCAGGCAGTCAGGAGAGAGACTGAGGCAATCTGGGATAAGGTTCAAGAAAACCATTTCGCAAGCTGCCCCAATGAAGGAGACATTCAAGATCCATAAAAAAAATAAAGAACGAGCAGTAGCTGAAGGTCAGGAGGGAATTCAGGAAGGTGATACACATATAGCTCCTGAGACTGTTGCAGCAGAGCCCTTCACTGAAGAGATCTCTTATACAGAAGTGACTACTAAGATAAAGAAAGAAAAGAACAGTGGAACAAAAGGTGTTTCAGAGTCAGCTGAAAAAGTAGAGAGAATCCCAGAAATCAGCCTTAAGCAGGAAGGAAAAGGAGAAGAAGGAGGTGATAATGTCCCTCTACTAGACTTGAAACAATTAGCATAAGAATCCAATTAACATATATACCATACTCTCTGTACTGAAGAGGAGAGAACACTACAGATCCAGCTTAGCAAAATGGGTGATCTTGTATTATATCAGAACATATATTAGTGTTCTATCATTTGCATTTGTGTCTGTAGTGTTCTCTTCCTGATAAAAAGACAAGTAATGCAAATTTAAGAAAGGGGCTCCCACTCTCTTGACGTAGTATGTATCAATATCTATCTTTAGATCTGTATCTATCTATCAATATCTATCTTTAGTATGTATCAATAGCTACCTTTATCCGAAAAGGAACTTATGACTCCCATCAAAGGGAGATGGAAACCTGCTGTATATTTAAGATGGATTAGGATTCACTTAAAAGCCTAACATTCTCTGTTTTATATACAACAGTATAAAAACATTTATATGATCTTTCTATACAGAAAACAAAATATAATCAAGGTATTACTTTGTATTAGCAGAAGGAACAACTACAAAAGGTGTCTATCCTGCCATAAATATCTTTTCTTTCGTGGGCTTTCACTGAAACAGCAGTGGAAAGAAATTTCTGCTTTATCCAGGGTGTGACAAAATTAAGCAGAAATGAAAGATTTTTTTGAAGAAATAGTCTTTTGTTTGTTTATTGTTTGCTTTCTCAGTGGAAAAGAGAATTATCTGAACTGGATTATCTGGAAACTGATTGTTTCCAGAGTTCTGAAATGAATGATGGAGTTTAGCAAGGCATTTTCTGTTCTTATGGAAGAAGATTAAACAAGCAGAAGCCAAATTAAATATAGAATAGCAGCAGAAAAAGAGAATTAGGAATCATTATCATGTTTTGGAAAGATCAGGGCATGATTGTATGAAAGGCAGGAATATAAGTAAGTAGAAGTGAATGAGATGAAAATATGTGTTGTGGATGAGTAGAGAGAGGGAAATATAAGAATATCACAACTGAAGTTTGCTTCATTTTCTTGAGATCTTTGCAAGAACTGATTGTTAGAGGATAAAAATTCATGAATATATATGGCGAGATGAGAACTGTTTTTTTTTCCATTCTCTGTGTTTTTTTCTGAGCTTCACTGCAATTAAAACCTATTCTACAAAGTTGAAATTCAAAGCCAGTTCATAACCCAATTCTTTATTTTAATGATCATCTTTTACCAACCAGCTACAGTTTGACAGATACCCTCTGGAGTATGGAATGCTGTTTATTTGCAATACTGAGGAGCCAGTGCCCTGAAATCAGATATGTTGTAAACAAAACCACTATGCTGACATGAGAAGCAGGATTGCATTGCTTTCTCCATACTTAAATGAAATTGCCTTCAAAGTACTTATTTAAGGCAAAGTTAGGCATTTTTATTTGTGAGAAACTTATACAATATTACCAAAACCTTGTGTAATTGTATTTAATATCTCAGATTCATTTAACAGCAAAACATAACTTCATTATCTATATGATGAATCTGTCTGTCTGTGATCTATAATTTAAATATGATTAGTTTGATTTCAAATATGCTTGCCTATTCTTTCATTTGGTCTAGTGTACCTGGTATTTGAGATGGAAATAGCTTTAGCAATAGTAAGGATGAAAGACTGGTTGAAAGACATGTCAATGTCAATGACATACAAAATTAATTTAATGTTGCCACATTGGAAAGAGCAATTCCACTAAACAGAAGGATAGGATAGGGCAACGGAGGGAGGGAAGGAGAAGTAAACGCTTGTTTCAATAGTAAATTGTACATATCTGCTTTACTGTAATTCAAGGCAGCAAGAAAAAAAAAGGTTGGTTTATGGGATAGATGGGAGGGATGGGATTATCACTTACAGAAGACAGTTTCTGGAAGCCAGGTAACTTCATCTTCCTGTTCTTTACAGCACTGTAGTTAACTTAGTTAAAACAGTGAAACATTTGTCTGTTTTTTTTTTGTGTGTGTTTTTTATTTTTATTCAGTACAGCCTGTATTTTACTCTGCAATATTTTAGGCTTTTCTGAACTAATAAATGAGAATTCACTACTTAAGTGAAAAAATCTGCTAGATAATTACTTTCCTATATAAATTCATGTTGGATCCTTTTCAGATAAGTTATTTCTTTGCATTTGAATACTGCAGAACACTAAGTGATACAATATAATTGCCTATAGTTTGTTTTTTAATAGTATTTAATTTTCTTATTTTACTTGACAAAGAGGTAATGCAGTCTTCATGGAGTTTGTCAGATAGCACTACATACAAGCTCAAATATGTATTTTACATATCAAATACAATCAAATAAAAATACGTATTATATATGTATTTTTAATATCTGTGGTCACTCAACCAGAGGATGACCTGTTGATTTTTTCCTTTTCTATCAGAGAATGTCCTGTTTTCATAGCAAGTAGCAGTTCTTCAGGTGTAGCAGAGTATTTCAACACATCCTATTAACAGCTTTTATCAATGTCACTGAGTCGAATCCTACATGTACTAAGTGATCAAATTTAACTCCATACATGCGAAGCAGAGAAAAATACCTTGTGTTAAAACCTCATTTTCTACACAGTGGCACAGCCTTTTCCTGCTTGAAGTCCCTCATCTTTTTCCTACTTTCAATGAATAATGGCCCTGAAGTCCAATCCTGTAACTTTCTCGTAAACAAAATTCTCAATGAAATCAGTAGATATGCAGCTGTGCTGCTTGGAGGTCTGGTGTATACTTTCTGAACAGGTGGTTCCTCATGGTAAAATGATCTCTCCTGAGCTGTGTCTGAAGCAAGTTCTGATCTCAGTTCCATGTCAGAAAGCTGCCTATTCTATCTTCCAAGAATGAATCTGCCACTTTACACTAAGCTGTGGTAGGGAGTGTGAATTTCAGACTTCCTCATGGTAAGAAACCTGCAGTTGCTAACTGCAGAATATAACTACTCATGGGGAAAGATGAACTACTTTCTTAGAAACCATGTTCATCATGGAATTATACAATCATTATTGTTGGAAAATACCCTCAAGATCGAGTCCAGCCGTAAGCCTATCACCACTATACTGGTGTCATCTGCAAATTTGCCGAGGGTATACTCAATGTCCTCACTCAGATCAGTGATAAAGACATTAAAGAGGACCAGCCCCAACACTCGTCCCTGGGAAATACCACTTTCGACTGATCGCTAGCTGGATTTAGCTCCATTCACCACTACTCTCTGGGCCCAGCCATCCAGCCAATTCTTCACCCAGTGAAGAGTACACCTGTCTAAGCCACGAGCTTCCAACTCCTCCAGGAGAAGGCAGTGGGAAATGCAGATGTCAAGAAGCCTTCACGGAAGTGAAGGTAGGAGAAATCTATGAAGACGAAAATGGATGGAAAAAAACACAGAAGAATTCTGAGAGGGGGAGAGACCTCTGTCTTTATTCTTGACCCTTTGTTCTTTCAGTTAGAAGTTAGAGCTCTGCATTCTTTCCCCACCTCTCCTTTGCTGAATGGCACTGTCACAATTACAACTACAAAGGCCAAGCTGCCTCCAGCAAGTTTCCCTGTTAACATTAGCAAGGGAGCTTCAAAAACCCAGTAGTTGTCTCATAGGTGCTCATCCAAACCAATTCTATTCAAAATAAAGTATTCACTTGTAGTGGGAATGGGAGGAAAAAGACTAAAACACAACAGCAACACAGAGGTTTGCTGAACACTCCAGACTTACTTAAATCCACGTATCTTTCAAAAAACAGGGAAAAGTTCATAGCAAAAGCTACAGCTTGCAAGATTCAGATGATTTTGAAGATGAGTTAGTGACCACTCTGTGTAACCTAGAGAGAGGAATGACCTCAATCCCCATTCCAGGTCAGTAAGCACATGGTGAACATAGTGCCAGCTTTGCCTGGGTAATGACCATGGCACTTCATCAACACTCCACAACTAGCTTTGAAGCATTTAGTCATCCAAGTGCTGACCTCTGCAGCAGTTGCCATTGAATTCAGTACTAGGCTTTAGAAGCTGTGATAGGAGCTCCCTTGCTCAGTTGAGAGCAGGCGGGCTACAGGTTGCACTATTTTATTCAGATGTACTATTGTGCCTCTGAGGCTTCTGAAGCCAAGCAGAGTAGCATCTGCTCTTTTCTAGAACAACATATCCCAAACTCCCTTCCTTATGAAAGCTTTTTGTTCTGTTCTGACGGAGGGACATCCTGCCCTCTTCCCAGTCCTTTCAATATTTTCTGCATCTTGGAATATTTTATGAAATCCCTGAGGGCAAACAAGATATTTCCTCAGGGGAAAATACCCTGATGACCATATTATTGTACTCTGTGATGCTAACTTGATCCTTACCTTGAGTGCTGACTCAACCAGCTTACTGTTTCTGTGGACCCAACCTACTCCATCAAAGAAAAGGCCATATATATAAACTCCACTAATGTCAGCAGGAGGAGGACAAACTACATCACCTTCTTTTTGGTCACCTCATTGTGCAAAACAACACTGTCAAGTGCCTATCCTTTTGCTAAATTCATATGAGTGAATTTAGCAAAATTCACTTATTAGTGAGTCTCTTGCCTCATAGCAGTTAGGAAACCCTGAGGTGATGAAATATTACACAGCAGAATGTTTTAAAAAGCTTGAACTTATCCCTTTTCACCTTCTATTTCTTATATAATTGTGACATCAGCAGGATAAAAACCTCACCCGACAGAATTTCGTCTAAATTTCAACACAATTCAATAATGTAAACCCAAAGCTTTCCTGCACTGTCCAAGTAACACACGTTCTTCTGTACTTGTGTGTGGGTGTATAGGTATGTGAGTGCCAGAAGCCACCACATATAGCACTATAACATACCAGAATTTGCATGTGTGACTCACTTCACATACCTGCTTTACAATAGTAAACCAGATAGAGTTTTACAAGACTGTCAGATTAATGTGGTTTGTAAAATTCCCAATACAGTAATTCAAAAAAACAAAAGAACCCCCCCCCCTCCCAATAGCTCTGGTATATCATGTGCTACTTTGCTCATCTTTTCTTATTTTGAAATTGTAAAAATAAT